CTCTGTGGAAAATGTACTTATGCTTAAAAGCATAGATGCTTTGGCTGCACTGTCTTACAGAAAACCTGACATTTGACTCTGTAATGTACTAGGGGAAATAAAAGGGAGAAAAGGAAACGGCAGCTCCCATGGCACTCCTGTATCCTCTTAACATTTTCTTGTAACTATGCTGTTTTATAGATGAAACTGTCACTGCAAAAATGACAAATATAACACATAAAAGAACAAAAATGGGCAATAAATCACAAGTGACACCACAGCCCATTGAAATGCATTCAGCCAGTGCTGCAGAAAGTAGAAACGTTTCCTTGTTTTGCATTCTGCCCAGCTGAGCAAGAAGACCAGAATCCTTGAACAATTGGTACAACAATCGCTGGGGCCATCACATAAAAATGGGCTTAGAATTTCACTTTGGAGAGTCAGATCCGCTCTCATTCTGCTTTCCTTATCACTTGACCTTGCAACAGCACTGCAGTATGGCTTTGACATTACAGCACACAGGTGCTTATTCTCACCTGGATAACTATCCACAATTCCAGCTAATGCAAATGTTGTCCTGAAGTATCAAGACAAGAATAAACTTCTAAAACAGTGTATTGAACCTGCAGACAGACGTGTCTGCAGGTAGGTTTGTTATTATAGACTGAAGTAGGAAATTGTCTCAACTAGAAAATAGTGGATTCTACATTGCCCAAAATAGCACTTCACATTTTAGCATTCAGAATATATCTAAATCAATGTTACATGGTTCAGGATGGAGAAAAAATGAATGTGAATGTCTGTCCAGCATATGTTGTTACACCTCAAATGCATTGTAAAGCAAAACAATCAAAGTAAATAGCAAAAACACTCCTTGCCAAATTTATGCTGTTGGTTTATCTGTTAATAAACAAACTATGTTTTCAGTAACGCAGTACAAAACTGGAGTAAATCCCTTGACGTGAAAAAATTCCATGAAGTTTTGATTTAATCAATCAAAGATTTCAGTTCATTTTTTTTCACTTTTACAGTGGAATGGATGAGAACAGAATGTGACCCAGAACACAGAAATAAATCTTGCTATGTAATGAATTCACATCTGAAGAAAGGGGTATATTTTATTATGGTGGTAACTTCATAAGGGAGAAGAAACCAACTGGGATTATTTTAGGACTGCTTTTAACTAGTTTATAAAATACGGTGATCGTCTAGAGCTTCACATGTGCGGGAAAAAAATCATTAAATTTTAAGCTTTTTCCCCTTTCTTTAAAAAAAAAAAACGAAACACCAAAACTTCCCAATTGTTAAGTATCTGTTACTTTACAAAACTTCTGACAGATCTTGCTGCATGTGATTTGTACCAAGAATTTCATGTATGAGGAATGTACAATACAGAGTTCTCTCTTGCAGCTGGATGTGTAATTAACAATGTGTCATAAAAAGGGTGTTCTATGGAAATCAGTCTTAATAATATCTAGCGAAGTAGTGGCTGCTCCACTAAATCACAAATGGAAATAATTTAATTTAAATACAAGTATCTCAGACATATTTCAACAATTAAGAAAATGCCTGAAAGAATGAACACCCTAATTATGATTCCAAGCATGCTATTTTATCAGAATGCAGAGAGAATAGAATATATGAGGGCCAAGTGAATACCAAATATGGCCAATTTAAACCTATTACATGAAGTGTCTCTTACAAAATACCAAGTGAATACCAAATATGGCCAATTTAAACCTATTACATGAAGTGTCTCTTACAAAATAGTGAAACAAACTGCAGATGATTTCAGTCTTTCTCAAAAAAGATGTATTTGTTATTCAGCTTTGAAGTTATTACAGTCACATTTGTGTGCGGTAAGTTTTTTGATAACATCCTACATGATTCCAACTGTATGTTAAACTGTGTTTGATTCCAACTGTATGTTAAACTGTGTTTGTTATGAAAACATGGATCCTTTTTCCTCACAGACAGATAGATGTAAGTCAGATATTCTCTTTGTCTGTTGGAGGACAGGGTCAATTGAGTGAATTTCAAGTTAGCCACTTTTTGTAAGGTAACATCGAAAACTAAACACTATCCACTAAGTTTAAATTCTTAGCTACTAAGTTATTGTATCTCTGGTAATAATATATTAACTAATAAATTAATTTCCCTGTTTTGGCTTCTAAGACTCAAAATCACACAGTTGCTTTTACACTAGGTTATCTTATGCTATAACTCAAGGACAACTACACTGTGGGTATTTCAAGTGCAACTGCAAGAAAAAGTTCTCTGCTACAGGCTGCAAAGGCAACCTGAAGTGTCTCTCAAGATATTTAGGGCAACTAACTCGTAATCCTATAAACGGAAAACCTGTTATTTTTATATGAAAACGGAAGGAGAAAGGAAGGACAAAGAGAAATTAATAATGCATTGTTTATAAACTGCACCAGTAAGAGGCAAGATGAGCTGATGACGAGGATGGAGGAAATGAATGCAAGTAGAATTGGCTTGAAAGCAGAGCTGTATTATCATGATATTTGTGAAGAGGAAGACCTTTCAAATTTGGTAACGATATTCAGGAATACAGCCAAGATTTTAAATTTTTATTATGCAAAAAGCATCAACTTCCAATGTAAAGAAACAGAAAATGCCATCCTTGACCTTCCCACTGCCGCTTATGTATCTCCTCAAATGCTAAAAGATGAAAGTAATTTCTTGATCTCAAATGTAATTACTTTGGTTCTGAGCAAAGAAGTGAGGAAAAAGCACTGAACAGAAAATGCTAAGTGACATTTAACAGTTACAGCTGTAGGGCTTGTGGTAACTACAGTCAGAAACAGCTCTATACCTTCACATAAACAAATCCTTTTACATGTAAACATGTAAAATCCTTTCTACGGTCTTGAAATTTATAGGAGAAAAATGTGGGGACAATGTGTATCACTCCCAGGTCCTGCATGTGTGGTCCAGTTTCTGTAAACCTCCTTAAGAAAACCTTTTTGCTTCTCATGGATACTGCAGGTCCCATTACTGCTACACTGCCCTGAAGCTGAAAAGCCTGCCCTAAGGACCCCTAGGCAGGATGTCTCCCTAGAAAAACAGTAATTCTTGTTGCTGTCATGGGACAGCCATGTGGGCTGGGTGAGGCTTTTTTGCTTGTTATTGTAGTTGTGGCAAAAAAGGAGGAAGATGTTTCTTTCCTTTTGAGAAGAGTCTTTCAAACATGAGATGGGATTGGGAAGATGATGAGGGCATTTCAAAGGCTTTCCAATACATTTCACAGATAGCTATAAATGCTGTGGGTGGGTATAATCTGATACTTTCTTTTTCACTACAAAATTAGATTCTGGTAGAACATCTTTATTTTCTTTTCAAGAAAAAGGAAACGAAATTCACAGATATGACAGACAACCACAGACTGTCAATGCCACTACTGACAAAGCAATGAAATAAATACTTTGCCAGCTATCCTATGCTAGCTATATCTCTTTTCTCTCACTGTTAAGAACTGTAGTCATCTCTTTCCTGTGAAACAGGCATGTCTCCAGTGTTACCAATAGCTACCCAGTTTTGCATTGAAAGAAACAGTAAAAACAAAACATGAGAAGAGAAACATTTCAATCTCCACATGGAAAAATATAGAAGCTGATTTGAATCCTGTGATGAAGATATAAAAACCTGTTGTAATTCAAGGATATGAAAGAGATCCTGTCTCTTCAATGCTTTATTTGAATTGTCAAACAAAAAAATAACTGAGGTGTAAAAATGTATGCAGACACAGCTTCTGCCAAGCAGCAGTAACAAGAACAAGCTACTTAATGGCATCATCTAAGTATGTTATTCTGATTAGTTCATACAATATTACAAAATGAAAGTATACATGCAGCAATTTTGTCTTGATTGACAAGGTAACTTGGACACTGTGGATCACTCAGCTTTGCTATTATTACACATACTGCAGAATTAAAAGCTATAGCAGACATGTCACTAATCCTCTTATCTTAAGCTGAATCATTGAACTGCCTCTCATTAACTGTAGCAGTACCCAGATACCAGACATCTGAACTCCTCTTAGACACCCTGGTAGCAACATGGGAACAATGTGCTTTCCCAAGGAACATTCTTCAAAAAGGCAATGATCTTATCATACACTAAAAGCTGATTTACTAGGTTTACTTCCCCCATTACATATTTTATCACTTCAGGTTCTAGAGTATTTAATGCTCTTTAGTTCTGTTGAAAGTAACAATGTTTGCAAATCCCTGAAAGGTTTTAGGCATGGGTTTATTTTCTGACAAAATCAATCATTTCTCCAAGTTCATAGAGGTCTTCTGGCATATTCTGAGCCATCCTTCAAGCCACATATAGCCTAATGATGGTTCCACTTGAATACTGAGTTTACTTTGACTATTAGATTTTAAATCCTTAAGTCTTGCTCATTCTCTTATGTCACATGCTAAGGTGTTTTATTTTAATCCTAGAAGTCACGTATGACATAATAAAAATGAATCTATTTCTTTATTTTCTTTCATATTGAAATTTTGCCAGGAAACATGATCTTCCTACCACTACACAGAAAAAAAATCTGAATCTACTAATATAGATCTTTGTCCTAACTTGCACATGCAACTCCTGAGCCTAAATTATTTAGAAATTCTATTGTCTTGATCCAATAACAGAGAAAAAAAACAAACAGGTACACAGATATATATCTATATTCAAACTTTCATTCAATTTATGGATGGAGCAAGATGAGATCTTTTTACAACATCAGGCTTGAAGGAACATTCCACAGTTCACAACCACAATGAGCACATGCAGCGGAGTTGTACGTACAGGGACGCGTGTGTAAGTTTTTGTGCCAAGCACACCACTGAATTTAATGGAGCTGAGGAAGAAATTACGAACAGAAAGGAACTTTTAACACAGGGAAACTGTTTATGGGCAGGAAAGGAAGAACCTGTCGGGGAAAAGGAGCCAAAGAAAAAGAGACAGAATGGGCATGATGACTTGTCTGTACTTGAACATCTGACCTGTTAGCTGGTCGTCGCCTGCAGCAGGGGCGATGCGAATGTATGGTGTTGTAAGCTGAGTCACGATTATCGCAGCTAAGGCAAAGGAAGAGTTCCAGGTCAGCATGCATGAGGGAAAAAAAAGCCAGACTGAAGCTAGGCCAGCAAGAAGAATCTCGGTCAGTCGTTTATTGTCTGAACTTCACAAATAAAAACCAAAAAACTCCCACAAGTTCCTTTTCATCTTCAGTTGTTAGTGTGGTTATTCTGAAAATTAATAAGCTGTCGTGTGCGACTTTCATTCAGGAAAAGGACTCAAAGCACATTATTTACTGCATTTGAGGAAACTGGAGGCTCTTCAGCTCTGCTAGTCACAGCACTAAGCTTTCTAAGTGAACACAGGCTGATTATTCAGATTACTCTAATATTAACTTCTCCAAGTAATTTGAGCTAGTTTCATTTTTATTTTCCTATTTCATATTACTACATTTTTCCTACAATTTTTTAAAGATAACTTTAATGTAAAGCGTTTTTGAGCTAGTTAAGATTAATTTTTCTTGTAACCACTTGGGTCACTGTTCTAAAAATGTGCACACTACACATATACTTAATGCTCAGCACACAGAGAATGACCACTGAGAGGCGGCACACTTTTAATTAGGTACGTGTGTAACTGTCCGAGGTCTGAGTTTCAAGTTCACAAGAAAAAGCTGAAAACCCTGAATTGACCTGCCCTGAAATACCCAGACTTTTCTGACAGAGTTATAACAACCACTGTCTGCTACAGACAACTATTACCATGGCTCACATTAATAAAATCTGTTATTTCTTTGTTTTCTGGCAGTTCTGTGATTGCCTCTAAATGGTTAAGCACGCTGTGATACATATATATTAAGGAATATAAAAAAAATTAAAAGGTCAGATCCAACATGATGCAGCTGGAGAATGATGCAAAGAAAAAATATTGGAAAATTAAGGACAAAATTATATGAAAGATCACTCATTTACATAGAACAGCCTGGGTGCTATTAGAAATGTGGCAGCGAGAGAGGAAAATAGATCATCTACCATCTGCAGACAATTAAACTCAAAACTGCTGCTGCATAATATTTTGAAATATCCCTCTGCAACACTGAAATGCAGTGTTGATAGTAGCTTCTAGAGTACTGTTGCTATTGGATTTAAAATATTATAATATCCTTTTCTCTCTCATAATTAATGAAAGCCTTCCAATATTGCAAAATTAGAACAATGATGCCTCCCTCTTGAGAACTGCATTCCTAGGAGATAATCAAGATGCTTCTATCCAGACAGTGTTGTAAGTCATATCAGGAAATATAGTCTTAATATAAATCACAAACCACCACAAAGTTGATAGTAATAAACTTGGAGGAGTTTTGGAATGTTTTCAACTTAGTCTGTTGAGATTTTACAGTCATTTAGCTTGAAGAAAGAGTAGGAATATGAAAGCTGTATTTCAAGCAATATATGACAACCTTTATTACCACTGGTACAAAAAGCTATTCCTGATTTTTGTTTGTTTGTTTGTTTAATTATCTTGTCAAAAATAATGGGAGTGGAAACCCTGCAGTCTCCCCATTTGTATATACACCAAACAGTCACAGAGGTCCCAGAAGCCTTTCTGAAGAAAACTGAGATCAGGAGACTCCACATCATACTGATGTGCTGTATGATCCTTCTGCTAACAAAGTCAGTGGCAAAGGCTTCCTTTGACTTCATCAGAAGCAGAAGGAGAACCTTCAGCTCTACAAAATCAAACATTCTCATCCTACTTTTTTACTTGTAATCACTGCAACCAGGATTTTTATATGATCTCTAAAAGAACACATTTAACAGAGGTTTTGTTTGAAAAAATGTAACGGTCATAAAACAAGATCATATTTTAAAAGGGTACAAATTGCAGTTGTTTAAAATATACTTGATGGAATGAGAAAGTATTATCTAGCTACTGACCCGAGACATGCATTTGACCCAGTAGAATTAGGCTGCACTTTTCTGGAGATAGGCTGTACTCTTCTAAAAGGAAACCTATCAATATGATAATAAACTATCTGGTGCACTTGGTCTCTGATAAAACATGCAACAAGGTTTAGTGTCTGCCAGTTGAGCACATGCTTGACAGTAAAGTACAGATGTTATTCCGGCAGACATCAACGGGAGGGAAAAATGTTTTCAAGGTCCAGAACAGCTCTGCTGGATCTGGGACACGAACATTATGTTTATATTACAGTTATGTATTTTTATTTTAACAAAAAATTAAAAAGTGTATGGTGGGCCATGGAATGAACACTGCATGACAGTGATAAAATCAACTCTCAGTGATCGTAAGGGTACCAACAACTTCCTTATCTGGAGGTGAGATAGTTAAAGGGAATATAACTAGCAAGTAACATAGGTCTGCTAGTGACATTCTCTGAATCCCCATATCAGTCCTCAGGGTGGACTCCAAACAGGCTAACCATAATGAGGTGGCTTGGCCAATCTCAGCTAGCTCAGTGGAGCAGCAACTTGAAAGTTGCCTTGAGTGACCTTGATCCTAGGAAGGGCACAGGCCTTTATCTAGTAAAATACTTACATGTCTACTTTGAGACAGAATTGTTGTGAAGTAGTCAATGAGACTACTCTGTGTGCAAATTTAGGTACATCATTAACTTGATTAGGGCTTAGGTGGTCAGGGCATGGTGCTAAGAACGCCAAGGTTGTGGGTTCAACCCCCATATGGGCCATTCACTTAAGAGCTGGATTTGGTGATCCCTTGCAATTCAGAATATTCTGTAATTTTGTGAAAGCATATGGTTTCCCACACAGTAGAATCTACAATGGCCTACACAAGGCTGTGGGTATTTTTAGGATCAGACCGTAATCCAAAAGAAGATTGCACCAGTTTTATACATGAATGGTCTGAAGCACTTCCTCTAGCTTTAAAAAAACACCAAACTTGAACTTCTAAAGATAAGAGAAGCTCAGATTATGAATATTCCAGGGATGTTACTAGTATGTGAAAACTAGATGTAGTTCTGGAGAGCGTTCCCAATCTTATTTGCCAGAAGCACTATGGCACATAAATAGATGGACAAAACAAGCACATAGAGCTTAAGTAGCTTACTGTCTAGTAGCTACACTGCAGTCTCAAAGCTCAGTGGAAAACTGTGCAAGTCTAAGAAATCTGACAGAGTGGTCAGAGCAGGCGTTGCTTACTGGGGTACCAACAACATGAATGTACTGAGCTACTGTACCGAGCTGTTCGTGGGTGTTGAAAAGGAGAGGAGAATGAGAGAGGACAATTTTAAGTCTTGTCCCAATGCAGGTATAGTGATTCCTGACCTACAGACATAGAGCACGTTTTCTGGTTTTTTTTCTAACCCAAATGTGGAAGGTCCAGAGCGAGCACAGAATTCTGCTTTTCCCTTATGTATCTCTGTTAGGACCAAAGGGAAAACATCTGTGCAGACAGCTACTTTTAATACCATATTAAAATATCCCATGGTGTCCATTTAATTTTTTTAAGATTAATATAGATTAAAAATATAATACAAGCATACGGTTTAAAATCATGGAAATCAGTGCTTTACTGTAGCCCCCCTAAGAAAATTTTTATTTTAGGGGCTATAAATACCAATAAGGATACCTCTGTTTAAAAAAAAAAAAAAAGTCCTAACAACAACTTCTAACATTATTTTATTATGAAAAAATATGAAACATGCTTTCAAAACAGGAATGTAGGGAGATTTGTTTAAAATAAAAGCTGCATTTCTCACATTTCCATTGCCAAATGGGTTAGCTCAAAGTAGCTTGTTGCTATGGGAGCTATTCCAATCCACAAAGTTACCCTCGCTTCTCAAATGAGAGTAAAAATTTTCAGTCAGTCAGTCAAGTAATTTAAATAGTTGAACATCCTTTAGTGATCAGGAATACAAATCTTCAAAAAATTTAAAATCCATTCCTGTAATCATCTATTATGATTTCTGGTGTAATGTAGTTCACTCCTGATATCTCTGAAGCTATTTGAAAACAATACAAGATTTCACCTGCATCTGGAATTAATCTCTCATCTGTGTTATATTTGGGTTGAGTTCAGATATTTGAAAGATTTCTATGGTTTAGTAAGCAGTCAGTTAGTAAATGAAAATTTAAACTACTTCCTTTGGTTTGGAAAAGAAAAGAAGCCAAGAATGAGCTCAAAGAGACACAAAAATGTATTTTTCACGGTAGGGAGTATCCAAACTTTCAACGGGGACAACTTTATGCTAACATTTCTGTTACTTTTAAGTAGTGACCTTCTCATCCAACCCATTTAGACTTAGAGGTGGTGATGGAATTGTGAAGGAAATCATGGTGGGATCAATTCCATTGAGGTAGTCACTGAGACAGTCATGATCTCCTGCAAGGTGCAGAAGTACAGGGATGAAGCAGTTTTTGTTTCATGCTCCTGCCAGGCGCCCTGTCAGGTGGTATTACCTGCTCCTAACTCAGAGCACCACACTCCTTCCAGTTCCTCTACTACAATCTCCAAGTAAACTGTACTATTCCATCACTTCTTTTAAGTTAGTCACTTCTTTTTAGGCTTTTAAGTTGCCACCACCTAAAGGTACTAAAAAAGTGAGACTACAAAGATAATCACAGATAGATCTAGCCCCCAAAGATAAATAGATCAGCAGCATGTTTACCTTTCCCTGTTTGGAGACAAAACCTATAGCCAGTACTGTCTCAAGTGTACATATCTGTCTCACAAATGGTAATATCATGTGCTGACAGTTGAGTAAATATAGCTGATCTGTCTCATTAAAATGAAGAACGTGATTTCTCCACTTCTTTTTTATACAGCAATTAAGTTAAGGTAATTGCTTACAAGTAAGGGGCAATTTTTCACTACGGATGTATAAGCAGCTAGTATGTACTCTGCAATTGGCAATTTTACAACTCTACTATATATATATATGTGTGAATGTAAGCACAAAATATTTATTGTGAGATCATATAAAAACCCACAGAATATATTTTAAGAGCCCTGTGTTCAAGCAGATACCAAAAGTAATTAATACATTTATGACTAAAAACAAACAAACAAACAAATTTCCTAGATCTCAGCTAAGGATGCAAATGATTCTATGAAAATTCTGTAATATGTTTAGTGATCTCTTTTAGCAATATAAACATTTCTGGAAGTTTTCAAATACCATGTGAGGGGAAGGTCAACAAGATGAAGTACAGAATACATGACATAATAAAAACATACCTTTTGTGGCTACCCTGACGCAGTCAATTTTAGTTTCCTGTGTCAAATAAAGAGGAAAAAGGTCACATCTTGTGTTTCTAAACAAAGAAAGTCACCCATGATTCTATTCTTAAAAGTACTAATAAAATGGCAGAGCAGAATGTGCTCCATTCCATATTTAACTGCTTATTAGCTAACTCAAAAATGCATTCATAATATGGACCAATGCTGCTTGGGTATGGTACATAAACATTCCACTTGATTCCTCTAAAAGAAGGAAATGTGAAAGATATTCACAGAAGTACAGGCAAGGAAGGGTTCAGCTTTTTAACTCTGGCAACATAATGACCTTGGGAGATGTTTTTTTTTTTTTCTTACAGAAAGTATAGTTTGAAGCATCATGTTAAGACAATTTTAGAAAGAAAAAATAATCAATGCTGTTTCACATTTCTGCACTGTTGGTACACTGTGAATGAGGGACCATTATGGTTTCTGGCAGAAAACATTTCCAGGCTGTCAGCACAGACAGCCAAAGCTTATCAAGAATTGCAGGGCTCTGGGTAGGTCTGTCCAGGAAATGAAAAACAATTCCAGGAAGAATTAGCCTGATGAAACATGATCTGTGAGGATCTTTTTAAACACTTTTCATTTCAGTTCCATCTACTTCCTTTTCTTTTTAATTTGTTTGAAGAAAGGGATTTCTAATTCAATCAGGGCAACCAAATAAGAAAAAGGGAGATCAAGACGTTACAAACTAAGGTAATAGGACTGGACATGCCAAGAGAGATGTGCTAAAATCTGCAATCATGTTTGGCTTAAATGTAACGAAAGAAATCACAACATTTTCTTGTTCTAAACAAGAAGGAAGGAAAAAAGCCCATCAAACACAGCCACTGGACTTTTAGCTAGTAAGACAGAATGGCACCGTACTTCTTTGCCTGCTCACTACTGACAAAATGTGGTTTTCCCCTCCTCTTTCCTGTAACCTTTAATCACTAAGCAATATTGTGTTAGGAAAACTGCTATTTTTTAAACACAGTGTGTTAAATTTCACGGTTACTTCATTTTCTCATTAGCAAATAAATTGGGCATCCTGCTAGTTGATGCCAATCATTTATTTACACATAAACACTGTATAAAACCATGCCTATTGCAAGACCTACCCCATTGGCTCTGCTAGCAGCTTGAAAATAGATGCTGTAGCTCTTATGAGGAAGAAGAGGAGTATTCCAAAAACCACTGTAGGTTTTGTTATCACCAATAGTAAAAGGCTGAGCAGCTAGTAAACCATTGGCTGGAATCTCTGCAGCAAAGTAGTACTGGGAATTCAAGAGTGAGGCATTCTGGAAATGAATGGGCACTGGGTAGCACTTCAGGATTTCAGTTGTCTTTTTGGTCCTCCGTGGGCGCTCTTCCTCAACAACGATTTGATAGACACTAAGAGAGTGAAAGAAAAGAACGAAAGAAACAGTGGTTATTTTAAAACTTGGGTAGTCAAACCATCCCACCATCCATAACAGCCTACCAATATTTACTGGAACAAAAGAACTGTTAAAAGCAAAGAACACAGGAAGAAAATGACATTTTAATATTCAGGTGTATAAATCTGTGGAATGGATTCATGCTTTCATATTCATTTTTTTCTGGAAAAACAAAATTAACCATTTGCACCACAGCTTTTCACAGAAGCAAATGCAAAGGACATTTTCTTCAAACTCTTGTACAGAAAAGGTGTACTTAATCAATGCTAAAAGGTAGAATTATTATTTTGTTCACTAAAGCAAGTATAAAGCTAGAGAGTCCTTTCTCTACCTGTTTATCTTACCTAAATGAAATTAAATTAGTACTAAGATAAAAATGAAGACAAATTACAGAGAGACAGGGACCAGTGTTTGCTTAACTGTTGACTTTAGAAGTATTTATAAAAGCACAAAGTAAAATTTCAGTGGCATATTGACTATTGCTGAGCAAGTATAAAACACTTTTTGATGGAAGTTATTATCACTCAGCAAAGCACTTTTACACATCTTACAGGCAACTGTATTTTTCAGTTTCTGCATTCTGCAAGGCAAGTCAGTTTGCACTTGCAGTCTCTGCTGTACTGGGACCTACAGAGAACAGTCCATCCCTCTCCACTGTAAAGGTGCTATGGACATTCAGACAGGAACAAAGAAACTGCAATTTCTGCTGTATATGCAAACAGTGTAATCATTATACCCTTGCAGTTGCTCTAAAAGACTGAGTCAGTGCTTTTAAATTTGTGATGTGGGAAGTCCGTGTCTCTGAAGAGGACTGGCTTACAAATTTATTGCTTCACTGGGGACCAGTGGTTCTTAATCAGTATTTGTCTCCTGGAATCTTGAATCCCAGCAAAGAAGTCAATCTGGATAATTGATGTTGAAGTGGCAACGTGTCCACATTTTTGCGTATCATCTACATCCACTAACAATTTATAATCTTTCCAGTTGACAGTTCATAAAAACCAGCAATCTCTGCATAGGAGCTTTCTTAAAAAAGAGATATCCACAGAGTCTCCTGACATGTTACTCTTCCGTCATCTGTAGGTAGAGAATTATGTGTACAGAAGATTCTGTCCAAAGTACAGGGACACATGGGCTGAACTTCTGCAGAACCACCTCAGTCTGGACCCAACAGGGTTTACTGGCTTAGTCCTATGCCTACATAGCTACATGGCTACTTCCCTTCTGAAGGCAAAACTGGTTTAGAAATAAAGGGATGAACTGTCCAATGACAGGAGGGATGGGGCTTTAAGTAACCTGGTCTAGGGGAAGGTGTCCCTTGACCATATCAGGGGGTTGGATTAGATGATCTTTAAAGGTCTCTTCCAGCCCAAACCCCTCCATAATTTTATGACACCACCATTTAAGGTCTTTTGAGTCTTCATAGTCTAGTATCACCAAGGGGCAGAAAAAGCCAATTTTATTGATCATCTTAGTGTTTTTTTACCAGACTTACTGATTATGTGCCACAGACCCTGATGATTTTTAAGATCTAGCATCTTCAGTAGGAGATGCTGAACTTCTCTGCTCACAAAAAAATGCCCAGAAAGTTAACTCTGAGAATGCAATCAATACCTCTTCTTCTGTCTTAAGACTTACAACATTGTGGAGCTTTAGTTTAATGTGAACACACTCAAACCTATTTGCTTTCATGAAGATGTCTGCACACCTACAATTCTCAGAGAATTCAGCAGAAAGAAGGTGTCTACTTTTGGGTCAAACTAATTTCCTCTCAGACTCCACTGATAACAGTAATGAAATACAAAGCTCACATGTAGACAACTAGAAGTAGATACCCAAATTTAAATGTTTTAGTTTAATGCTGAACTTCATACAGAAATCTAACCATGAATAAATTTAGTACAGCCAAGGACACAGAAATGTCTTGAGGGTTCACTTGAAGGTCTCTGCCTGTACATTTTGCAGCTCTGTGCAACAAAGTCTTCATAACAAACAGAAAGATTTTCATTAGTTGATTAATTCCATGCTAAGTAGTAAATGAAGGTCAATCCACAGCAATCATTCTTTGATCCTGTGGGAACTGATTTGCAAAAAAACTAGCCATGGAATATCTACATTAAAATCTTGGGTTTTTTCTTACAAATCAAATTTTGACATGATTTTCACAATTAATTTTCTAGAACAAAATAAGAGTTCCTTAGAACTGGGATTCCAAGCTACTTTGAAAACAGCATGTTGCCTCCTCCAACTATTAATTTGCAGTGAATTTACAATAAATACCATTTGTAAACTTAAATGGAGTATAGGAAACAAAGGCAGAAGGTGATGTAAACATTTATCCTTGCAAGGCAGTGAAGCTGGATATGCTTGCCTAATACTGCAACAAATGTAAGAATCCCACAGTTTCACTAAAGAATGATGGATAATAAACTAAATTACTTCTTGAAACAGGCATGAATATGAGGGACTTCAGACCAGATAAGGTAATATGACCTGTTTCAGTCCTGGCTGAAATGAGGATTCTCTTCATTTCGTCACTCAGTGATTAAAGCTACAGACAGTAGCTGTTTTAGAAACAAATCTGTTATTAAAATGCTTCTTTCCCTGTGATAAATACTACATGCACTACTCCTCATGTACCTCTCAGATGCCTGCCGTCTACTCATTTTCAGATACTTTAAAGAAAGAAGTAAGTCAACTGGAGCAATTTCAAACTCAAAATGTCTTTTAATCCTGACTCCACAAGACAAATTAGATTTGCAAGCATCTAGACCTCAAATCTATTTGCTCTTTAATAATTTAAGCACTGAAAGGTCAAACAACTCTTTTCTGTTCCCCTTCATCAAAGTCCAAATGCTAATGAAAAATAACTAAATCCTATCTGCTGGCCAATTTCCACACACTGCTGTTTCTCTGATGTAAATTAACACATTATGAGTACCCGGGTCAATGGAAACCTGACAGAATTTTACCTGAATTTACTTTTTACATTTTTTCAAATGAGATCATGCTAATGAATTTTACAAAATTACCCCAATTACAATTATAATCCAAAAGCTTTCTCTAGTTCTTACAATTAATATTGCTTTCTTTCATATGTAACAGCTGGACTGCCTAGAGCTTGAACCTCTGAAAAAGGGTTCAAGCTCAGTGAATTGAGCTAACACTGTACCACAACTATATTATTCCTCTTAGGTATACATCAGATTTCCTGTTTGAAGTTGAATTACTCCTTTTCCACACCTCTACATTTCAGAGAATAAAGTCTTCCTATCTGTAATCCAGAAAATAAGTTCTACACTACAGTGAAATGTGCCAAAAGCATATCAGTTATCGGCAGCATTTAGACTGATTTTTCTGAAGGAAAGAAATGTAATTTAAGTGCAGTTCACGTTACACAGTTCTACTACAGAATTTCAGCGCCTTGGAAATAAAATACAAGATTTGTTTTTATATAGACTGAAGTTTGCTGTTGCATTGAGAAAGGAACACATGGCAGTTATGTTTAAGATTTAAATGTTTCAAATTTGGTTATTAAAAAAGGTATATGGAAAAAAAATTTTAAAAAAATTATATTATTTTTACACTGCTTTTTATTCTAACAATTCCAAACAAGTTCTAAATTTGTATGATTATGTAAAGACACAGATCTGAACACAACAGTTTAATTTTTGTTAGAATTTACACATAGCAGGTCTCTCAGATATTTATTGAATTTGGATTGCTTAAATTGGAATGGTGTATCAATGTCTGATAAATATGCAAATTTTTTTCAGAGTTGAAAAAGAGACATGAAAGCAGAAAGAAAACATATTAGCACAGTAATAAAAGATGCTCAGAATCCTTAGACAAATGACAATTTCAAAAAAGACTTCAGTATATATCTAGTCTTAACTACATGAAATGATGGGTTTTGGTAACCTCCTGAATAGGGACATTATTCCACATTACTGGAATGCTGTAAATTAAATTTATTTAATCAAAGTCTCATTCAAAGTTACAAAATAACTTTCCAAGAAGGACCTATTGGATGCAAACATGGACTTCAGAATTCTTCATACGGGAGTCCTTAACATGTACAATCTAGACATTTATTGAAACTTATTAATCTATAATTACACCTAATTCCAAATTACAAACAAAGGGAAAACAAGCTTGATTACTTCATTATTGAACTGTCAGCTCTGTTTTGTTTCTCTAAAACAGTCTTGATGCTTTATATAACTGAGGCATTAAAGAAGTTTTCAGAATTCATTTTACAGAAGGGAGATGGCCTAAGGAACTGTATATAGACAAAGACTATTTGAATTTATTTACTAGTCTTAATACAACTGCTGTGTGTGATCCCAGGCAAGTCAATCAACTATTATGTGCTTCAGAAATCCAGTTGTAAAATGAGAACAAGAAACTTTCTTATTCCATGTGGCCTGCTTCAACTGTTTAAAACCTCTTCAAATTCTTATTATCCTTCTTTTTTTTTTCTTTTTCCCCCTAGGAAATGTACAAAGCCTGCAAAACACTTAAGGTCCACTAAGAGTGCTCTGATTATCTGTATTAACTGTTGGGCTACCTTTGCAGACTGTTATGGTGACATTCTTGAGTCTAATTTGAAGTTTTCTGCTCACTGTGCAGAATGCTTTATTAGAAATACACAAAACTGGTACGTTTTTATAGATCTATTTCTGTATTTTGACTTGCATGCTTGCTTTGTTTTAATGCTTACAGATTCAAACAATAGAATAACCCTTAATCTACATACTGACCATAACTTCAGTTACTCATTCCCACAGCCCTATTTACCTGCATGCTAGAATCACTTTACTATGTTCCTCTACTAAAATACCAGTTCCAAGAGTGGGCAAAATTAAGAAACCCAAACTCCACCCCATTATCTCAGTTCTAAGTTCATGAAGAAACTGACTGCTCAAACCATAAGAGTCTCCACAGTTTACAGGT